CGACCGACACCCAGAAACCTATGAAAATGTCGCAAGTCGACGACCTGATGTCCAAAACTTTTAGAACTAGTTGGTCAGAGAAGTCCGAACAAGGCACCTTCTTCGAGGTCACGACCGATTTCGAAACATCAGTTCAAATCATTGCGATATTTTGATTCACTTCAACCCTTCTTGTGGGAGGAGGAATAATTGCAACCTTCCCCGACTTTGCGTTAAATGAGTCTGAATTGCACCATCTTCCTCAGCATCCCCTAAAAGGGTCTCAGTCTCTTAGACACGTTTGGTTCGATAGGAACTCAGACACTACACACTTACAATTCACAGATTTGGGCTCAACTTCTTTTTAATGAGTGTCTAATGCCTTTCTACTTGCATCTCATCTTTTGCTTAGGATGACCTCGTCCTCAACAGAGGGTGTGAGATCAGTTGGTGGGATTCGAGCTTAGGACACGTGACCCCCAAGTGTCACCCAGCAACCTTGATATATGGTGGAGACACATTGTCTTGACACCTGTAGACTGTGATATGCGACGCCTCATGTATCTTTTATCCACTCTGGTCTCTTCTCCATTGAAGGGATTCAATGCTCCCTCTTCCCGAAAGGAGCAAATCTTAAGAATAAAACTTGGCTTAATCGATGGGAAATACTGCTTTAGTGAGACCTGTAGGCTAAGGGAAAACATCCCGGGCATAACTGGTGGCAAGTTTGCTCCTTATGATCAGCATATACAAGCACAGACGAGCATACCTGCTTGCACATGTAGGCACCTCCACAAGCCAACAAACCTCAGCAAATTCGTGCACAGACGCAGGTCTGTGTTAACCGGGCAACAGTGCAAACTGGGCACAAGAGGTTGTAGGCATAAACGATTGTCGGTCCTGTGGCTCGCATAAACCGGCGTAAGTATTTCCACGCTTCTGGTCTTGTGTACTTGGTGAAAAAAAATTGCAGAGACTTTCCTTCTTAATTCACGCCGTTTCCGCCCGCTATCTTCTGTCCCCTCCCACCCATTCCGCCTGCAGGTTCGTACCGTTCTCAACGAAAAACAACTGCACACCCTACGCACATGTTATGCTGCGAATCCCAGACCCGATGCTTTGATGAAGGAGCAACTGGTGGAGATGACCAGCCTCAGTCCGCGTGTGATTCGAGTCTGGTTTCAGAACAAGCGTTGCAAAGACAAGAAAAAACAGATTATGATCAAGCAAATGGAGCAGCATCACCAGGTAAGCCAAACAGCTCGAACAGTGCCCATCCAAGGCTTACAAGGTTTGTGTGGTTGGGTGATAAGTGTTGGACCAACAACTTCCCGAGACTTTTTCATATAGACTATAAATTTGAGCCATTTTCAATGTAAAATAATTCTATGTCCTCTAGTATAATTGCGAATTTTGCTTGAATTTTTTGGTCGCCAGTCTTGTAACGAGTTTTTAAAGTGACTACTGAGTCGCACATTCTAAAGTAGTATGCTTTAAGAGGGTGTGCTAGTTGTTTCAACAGCATTTGCTATCAACACAGCAAAATTGTGATAGATAGAGCTGAGAAGGAAGATCAGTCTACAAAGTGAATATCCTTCCTTTTCTACACTAGGCAGAATCTGTTTCAATTAGAAAAACTTGGAAACAATATGGACTCAACGAAAAGAATGTAGTGAAACAACTTTATCATCTCGAATGAAAGTGGGGTTTTGAGGAATCTCGAAGGGGAAGTAAGCTCAACAACTTTATCATCGTCCAGGAAATTTCATTTATCTACCACTTATCGTCACGGAGGCGTCTTGAAGTAGTACTTACGGATCGATTTAAGAGATTCTGAGCTATGAGGATATCAAAACTCAAAATGGGCGGAATCGTGAAGAAATCATAAATCATGAATTAATGAAGAAAAACTATGTTTAGAAGAATTCCATCGTGATTTATTGTGACGTAACTTTTCATTTCAACTATATGCCAAGTAAATGTTGATGTCTACAAATCTCTTGGTTTATCAATGTTGGCTCACTTTCATTTTTAGTGAAAGTGTCGGATGAAGAGAAGACAAAGACGGATTCCACCAGATTGTATACCGATTAGCTTTACTGGAACTTTCTTGTTGACGCTGTTTCAGAAGCGTAACAAAATTTTGGTGTCTAGAAAAATAGGGCTTCGAAGAATCTCTTAATAGATGTTGAAGTTACCTTCATTTCTTTTGAAGAGACTGTGATTGTAAGTTTGTGTGAATAGGTTCTCAGCGCATCGCCGATGAATCTGTGTTGAGCTTTCATCCGTCATATGACGGACATCGTCGGAATAGGACAGCATACTTAACGAAATTTCACCAAAAAACACGAAGTCAAGAAAGGTGACCGGCTGCAAAAACCTACCTTTTCTTATAGTCCAATCTGGTCTAGTCAGGCATCTCATGTTTTGCTTGGATGTCCCAAACCAGACGCACTCCACCGCCACTGTCTATGAATCACACACTTTCGCACTAATAATTGCATCCTTTCATTCTAGGCAATTTTCGGATAGTTAAATATGGTGGTAAAATGTTATTTATATTCACACATTTATATGAATTATATTTACATATTCCCGGGATTGTCTTATTTGAAGTGTATTCGACTTTTATGAAAACTCACATACCATAACTAGTTCAGAAGTTGAGAACTCATCGCAAATTCTATTTTGTGAATTGCACACTAACGTTCGCCCGTGACTTGAGCGAAATGCCCGAGGTACCAGTAGCCATGATAGGCCTGGCAACAACCATAGCCTCTCCAACGGCTGAGTGTTTGCCTGATTGTATTTGCCTTATACTCACGTGTCTGTGTGAGTGTGTGTGTGGACATGGCGACAATCAATCGAAAGAAAAGTTGAACCATTTGAAGAGTAGGCAAGCCCTAATTAACAGTTGCCCCCTCCTGTACAAGGGTCGGCTGCTGCCTGCCACATCGCTCCACTTGCAGCCTGTGCCGGAGACCCGGAGACCGTCAATCGCAATTGTCGGATGACCCGAGTGAACGGCCTGTCACTTGGGCCAAATCAACGGCAGGAAAGCGCCACTCCCAACCGATTGCCTCGTCTGTCCAATCGGTTCGGCCAAATATCTGCCCCATCCTGCATAACTTGACCTCTACCGCTGTCTCCAGGCTCCGATTCCCACGGCTATTCCTACCCAGCACTTGCCATTTGAGTCCTTTTCTCAAGCCGCAGTATCCAGGCCGACCGGAGTTGTTGGCCTACCCTTCTATTGTTCACACCACAATTCGATGATCAGAATAAGGAGGGTTTCCGGGGCTCTGAGGCGGCCGAAACGACGATGGGGATGAATGCACCTCCCTCGGTCTGGGCTTCTGGGCCGTCAACGGTGAGGAGGGGGCTATCGCAGACCTCCCGCCCGAGGCATAGAATTAGCACTCGCCAGTCTGAAGCCATTTATGCTAAGGCTGGGTTGGATGAATTGCCTTTATGCGCTTTTGCTTGCACGCATGTCTATCTGCGTGTTGTCTTCCACAAGTGAGGAAGCTTTGGTATCTGGGGCAGACCCATTTACATTGTAAATACGAAACTGGTCCGGTCTAATGAGAATACGGTTCCAGGACTGAGGGGAAGAGGAGCAAATATTTCCAGATAAGTAATAATTCCCAACTGTGTACGAGTTGACCTGTGCTGCCAGTCCAAGTGGGGACTAGCGGCTGGGAGAATAGGACTCATCACAATACCAGCAAACAATGGTACTCATTTCTTAGCGTTTCTCCGCTTTGAAGCGGGAAAATAGACGAGCCAACTTTTAACTGGGACTGTTAAGATTTGGCCGTAATCAGCGCCTCAGTGACTAAGAGTGAGAGAAGATAAATACGATTATTGCAAGTGAATTCACGGTAAGCTCTAATCTTCTGTACATGCTTATTATGTCACTAAAGTAGGACGAAATAGGGTGAATACATCTCATTACACTGATTTACTGCTAGTCTCGAAACCCTACTTACTTACGAATATAAGTAACGTTGTCGATTGCTATAGCAAACATACGTTTGCGTCATCGGCACTCCCACCAAAGAATATGATATAGCAGAAGGCCTGACCGGCCTTGACACTCACTTATGCCCTGTGACTCAATGGTGCTCGTGGCAGTGTAGCCGAGTGGTTAGCGTGTCAAGCTACC